ATCACAAATTAGTAATTTTTAGGTCACACAGCTTGTACTGGTCACAATTTATCGAATTCATTGGTCACAAATTGTTTATTGGTCACAAACCGACCAAATTATTGGTCACAAACAATCAAATCATTTGTGACCATCACCAAATCATCTGTGACCACAACTTCGCCACGACTTCCACCAGCGGCGCCTCCGCCAGCGGCGCCACCATCGTCGACACATCTTCACCACCATCGCGTGTAGCATGACCACACCCTCTACAAGCAGCACATCCAACCATCACACAGCAACACCGCAACGGTTGCACCAAAAACAGCACAACCATCGCACAGAAACGCACCACCGCACGCAACAAGAAACACACCCAAACCACACAATCACCACCGCCGCACAAACACACACCCAACCACTGCCAAAACACCGGAACCACAGCCAACACGACAACCAACAGCCAACACTGGATCTGCAACGCCAGAAAACACGACAACCAACATCCAACACTGGATCTGCAAGGACAGAGACCACTGGATCCACACCATTGGCACTCACCCAACCACCGGATTAGATCGCAACCGCACCCAACACTCCATCGCCATCGCATCGCACCACAAAAAAAAAAAAAATTTGAGACCCGTTGACAGTTTGCACTTCCACACCCTAACCGCAAGGAAGGCTAGCTCGTCGACAATCCTCACCTCCTAACGCCAACCGCATGAAATTACGGACGCCGGAGTAAGCGGCGGTGGCCGAGGTGGAGATAGAGAGAAGAGACAGAGAGGGGAGAAGACAGAGAGGCGGCTTAAGACGAGAGAGAGTGAAACGAGAAAGGGAGTTAAGTGGAAGGAGTCCCCACGTCGACGGGCGGTGGCTGCGGGGGCAAGAGAGGGAGTAGAGAAGAAGGGTTGACGGGGGCTGGTGAGAGCGAGAGAGTGTGGGTGGGGGAGGAATTGGTTGGAATGATTAGGGTTTGGTTGGGGTCAATTTTTTATTATTATATATAGATATAAAAATAAAAATAAAAAAATGTTTTTAAATTATTAATTAAAACCTGATTTTTGAAATGTTAAACTTGTGATCTTATTTGTGAAATTGGAATCTAATTTCAGGTCTAAGTGTAATTTCCTCTATATAGTTTACATATGTATTCGG